CATTAACGGGAATCGCCCCGCGGCCGATAGCTGGGCCAAGTACTGGTGGTTTAAGTTTCTGACTTGCTGGTGGAAATGGAACCAGACTGATGCTCCCCAGAATGGAACATTAAATTGAGCCAGAACCTTAAGGTTCTGCTTGTTTTTTTTTTGGGGGGGGGGGTTGTAAGCAGCTAATGGGTTCAGATGGGCCATTCCGGGCAGGCATAGGTTGTAGCTGGGTACTTAGGTACGCAGGGGGTACCTCTGTTCCGTACCCCAGGTACGTACGTAGGCAGGTCGGCAGGTAGATTGGTAGTTTAGTTCGAATCCTTGGTTACATGGGAAATCACGTACATAGGTAGGTATGTACGTACGTAGATAGGTGCAGAGGGGTGTAATGCAAGTTTCTTCTTCGCGTTCCTCTCCTCTTCCTGCTGCTTCTATCCCTGCTGCTCCCTGTTCTGCTTTGCGTTTTTTTCCATTCTACATCGTCCCATTTTTTTCTCCTTCCCCCACCTACTCTCTCCCCTTTCCCTGCACCCTCTTTTTTTCTTTCCCCCACGTCTTTGCCCCCTTTTTGGAGGGTTTGTTTTAACCCAAAGCAAGCTCAACTTTTTAATTAGAGACCAGATAATCCAGGCCAGCGAACCTCACAACCACCCAGATCAGACCCCATTTACTGGAAGCCTCACCCAGCTTACCTTACAGGGGATAAGGCCCATGGCCATAAAACCCTGATAAGGTCCATGGGCCTTTCTACTTCATTTTCTTGCTCTTCTTCTTCTTCTTCAGTCAATCTAGGAGGAGGCTAGTGCAAAGGGATGGCCTACAGTAGTGCATAAACCAGCTGAAGTCAAGCCTCTTTGCGGGCCCGCACTGAAGCAACGTAGTTTCCTCGGGATACTGGTACACCCATCAACTGTTCAAATACGGACCCGAGTTCAAATCCACATCTGATCAAAACTTTTCGGGGTTCGGGGAAAAAAAAAAAAAAAAAAACTGTCCTGGGTCCCTCGGCATCATTCAAGGCTACCATGGGTACAAGTGTCTGAATCACGGAGAGATGCAGAAAAGCAGATCAGTTACAGTGTTTTGCATCTCTCCACAAACACGTCCAGATTCAGACACTTATTCCAATCGCTTTTTTGCCAGTGGAATCTCGCCCTCATTAATTCCACAACCCAACCCATATGGCTGAATGGTACACACAGTCATGCAGTCCTTGATACTAAACAGGTCATGAGTTCAAGTCCTGCTAGAGACACATGTACGCCGTAACAGTAACTTAGGCTGCTTCAGGCTAACCCCCCCCTCTCTTTACCGTATTATGTACGCCGTAACAGTAACTTAGGCTGCTTCAGGCTAACCCCCCCCTCTCTTTACCGTATTACAAATAGTACCCCCCCTTTACGGTATTACAAATAGTACCCCCCTCTTTACGGTATCACAAATAGAACAAACACAAAACAAAACGGAATATACTAGCCACTGTCATAATGCACCTCGACCTCGAAATTGGTTACTGCTAGGCTACCAGAGTGGTCCGGGGTCACTTGCCCGGCCGGGCCAAAAAAAAAAAAAAAAGAATAAATAATTAAATATTTTTGAAATTTATTTTTTATTTCAAATTTGGTGACGAATTTCGATGTAACCCTGACGCAAAAGTTGTTCAGTTTATTTTTCTGCATAACATAGTTTGTTTTTTGGATTTTTTGGATTTTTTTTTTTATTGTTCAGTTTATTTTTCTGCATAACATAGTTTGTTTTTTGGATTTTTTGGATTTTTTTTTTTTTTTTTTTTTTTTTTTCTGCTGGGACCTTCCTTGGTCCTTGCATGGGCTGGCCACCCGGGACCCGGGCGGCCCGGCTGGTAGCCTAGGTTACTGGTAATATATTCTGAAGTAGTCATTAAAAAAAAAGACACAAAACAGGCGCCTCGACTTGGCAGATGGCCACGTCTATGACCTGTCCACCTATGTGCCGGCGTCTCAGATCCCGATTATATATTGGAGATTGCGCAGTTCACATGCGCTGTTTGCCCCCTGAGGAAATCCAGCGCAAGACCCGAGCGCGACTCTTCTCTTCTCACTCCGCCAACTGACCACCGCAGGGAGCTGTGCTCCGGGATGATACTCCTTGTCTTCCAAGTCCGAAGGACTTCTGTGGCTTTCCTTTTTGACTTCGTAATTAATTGCTACTAGGCTTGAGTAAGCCTACCGTCTTCCCCCGAACACAACGCACCCTTATTTTGGCCGTATCTGGCCGGAAATATAGCTTGTATACATTCATTTTTAGGGTGCGTTATGTTCGGTGGAAGACGGTAGCAATAGGTCAGCAGTTACGCCTTATTATTTTTCCTACATTTTCCCTGAACTCCTTTAATAGTATTAATACAGTATAGTTCTCAGATTGTTCTTAGCCGAAGCCAGGTAATGGCCCTAGTATGTTTCAAATGACTTGTATAATTCTATATATGGGACGCTGGGCCTTGTTCCCAGCACGTGCTGCTCCCCACGCACGAATAGACTGGAGCATTTGGAACATATGCCTTCCCCCCCCCCCACCACCACC